GGATCATCATGTGACGACATCCTCTAACTGAAGCAAATAATGACATGATCATAGATTTCCTTCACAACAATATGAATTCAGTTTGTCTAGGTGTAGTGCGGCACTTGTTTGATCTGTGCACTTTACAAACACGCTTAAAAAAATTCACATGGTACAAAAAATGTCACAGAATTTGAACTTGTGGAAGAATTTTGAAAACCTGCGTCTTTTTAAGGAAGGAAATCGGTGGAAGGCAACAGAACTGGGGCAGTTCTTGCTCTATACTGGCCCTGTGGTTCTCTGTGATGTTGCAAGTACTGTAGTTTATGATAACTTTATGCTCCTCTCAGTTGCAGTCTTTATTCTGACCAGTCCATCTTTGTGTATGTCAGTGTGTAACTTCTCAAGGACTTTACTTGTGTCTTTCATTGAGCATTTTGGACAACTTTATGAAGAAGAATGGTCTTGTTTATTTAAGTGATGACGTTAAACATGGTTAAACTGGTAATATATCTGGGTTTCCTTTTGAGAATTTCGTGAGTCATAGTACAATGCTTAAGTTGTCCTGTGGCACAGGTCATCTGATGAATGTCTGAAACCGTTGCCACTAAGAGCGATGTAACACCTGAATGTGGTCTAAGAAAACATACTGAACGTCCTTTACCACAGTAGGTTTTGGGGACCAGCAAAGGAGTTTAGAGAGATGTAAGTCAGCAATTTTTGTATCAAAGTTTTTGATGGGGGTAACGGTTTCAAAAGTGGAAATGGTATTGGTTTGGTAAAAAACATACTTGTGGTTAAAGGTAGGGCTGGGTACCGAAATTAGTACCAAAAAGGCACCAACCAAAGCATCTTGGTGTAATTGGAGTTAACCTTACTACTAATGCAAAAAAAGAAAAGGCTCCCTGACACACAGATATGCAGAGAACACACAGCTAGCTCAATATGTTGAAGAGGTTTGAAAGTCTGGCTCTACTTGGAAAAATTTACTGAGAACAGTTCCATGTGCCTTAAGTGGCTTCCAAAACGAGTAATGCGTCAAATCTGATGAAACATTTGATGACGCATGGAATTAATCTCCGTCAAGAAAACTGCAGAATTTTCAACTGCATGAAGTACAGCACTATGTCGCCGCCGAAGGTGGGAGAATTTGGACTGAATATAATACAACCACATGCAGACACCAGTGTTTCCAGTGATAAAATATCCTCAGGTAAGTTAAGTTTCTGTGTACCTTTCTCACTTTGCCAGAGAAACTAACACTTGTTTCCAAGTCATTGTAAGTACTGAAAGCCAGTTAGGATTCTGCTAACGTTAGCATAAGACTAGCACGTATTAGCTAGGTAGCTGACTACAGTTTAGCCAGCGTATGATCATCTGTAACGTTGTTATAGTTCATGTTCCGTAGGTTTCATAAATGAGCCCTATTAACTACTTGCATGTCGTTTTCATATTGCAGGTGAGGGCTTTGGCAGTGCTACGGCCAGTTCTACTCGTGCTAATGTGATTTGCTCACGGAGAAACTATCCCTTAGCAGAAAAGCTAAGGATGTCAGTTGAGAGGATGGAAGGATGCCACAGAGCAGGAAGAGAGAGAGCTAGCAGAGATGGCTTACATGCTCATATTTCTTAAAAAGAACTCTAAAAACTGAACTGCAACCAGCAACATGCCCATTGTTTGCTCCAGCAAGATCCAAATAAAAAGATGGTTGCCTCTGATGGTGACAGTATTAGACAGAGTACTAACGTTACTTGGTCTTTTTAAGACTGTTCTTGGTGGAGTTACATCGCTTTTCTACTTGTTTAAAATCTTTACGCATTTTAGTTTCTGTGATTTAATTGAAATGGACAGTGTATATTTAAGCTATTGTTCAGGTCCTAATTCTCAAGTTTTCAGGGTCAGCACTTGCGAAATAAAAGAAAAAGAAACAATTCTGTGTAAAAAGTTGTTTTCTTGTGTGCCGTCATGCTTTCTAGTTTTAAACAGGTGGACCTTGAGTTGGAAAATGAGTTGAGAACCCCTGATCTAGGGCACAGGTTTCAATGGAGTGTGGTAAAGCAGGGAAAGATGGACAGTCTGCAGAGTAATGGTGCCCTTGGAACAGGATGGAGGACGGTGAGAATGTATGTGAATTTTGCAGAACGGAATGCAAAACATGCTTGTTATTAAAAGAATATAATATTTGCTTGTTTTATACATTTTAAAACATTCTTTCCCGTCTTTGTGTTTGTCATGATAGGACGTTTCATATTGTTGAATTTGTCGAGACAGCTGAAGTCGAAGTTGTGCCTGCAACCTGGGTGTGAAATGGCATGTGTTTATGACCTTCATATAAGTCCACAGAAAAGATTCAGAAAGCTGTAACCCGCCAGGAGGTTCCAGGCAACAGTTGGACGTCCTTTAAAGGTGGGGCGCTTCATGTACAAGGTACGGTAATGCACAGAGTGTAACTCTTGAACATGGCTGTGTTACACCCTCTAAAATGCTGTGATAACCCTGGACTTCTGTGGGCCTGTCCAGTTTCTCTTGGACTCATATACTTTTTGGTGACTTTAGGATTTATTGTATTTTTTCAAATCGTCACAGGAATGTCCTGAAACATTTTGTCTTACGTTGCAAAGTGAAAGTGAACCATCCCAAGTATTGCTGTTATTTACATTTCAGCTAGAGACATAATTTCATATGTAGTTACAGCTCCTTATAGTTAACCAGTTTACCACTAAGAGCCATGACTTTCACCATATTAGGTCTTCTACAGTCATCTGATGTTTTGCTTGTTCTGTTCAACTTGGACATATTAGACATATCTTTTCTTCTCTCTTACTGTCTTACTATGCTACTCTGCTAGCTAGCTAGTTGCTGTTCAGGTTAGGTAACTGTAGTATTTTATTTTCTGGCAGCTCATAACCTCCAAAGATATTCATATTAGCTTTTGTTTAGTTAGTTCATTCTCTGTTTTGTAGAGATGCTAATGTAGCTAGCTGGCTATTGAGCTGACTACCTTTAGAAAATATTTGCAATCTAAAGATTAGGACCTAAGACTAGGTCTAAAGATTCATTTAACTAGGCTTCATAGCTGAGCTACTGAGCCTTGCAGACCACATTCATCAGCTCCACTGATTGGCTGATGCAGATAGAACCTTATAACACCCACTTAGCAAGTAATTTTCACGAAGGAACCCTGGACATTTTTAAAATGCATAATCTATTAAGCTTGTTTTAATAAAAATCACAAACGCAACAATAATCAGCGCTAAATGATTAACTCTATGTTCGTATGTACATTTGTCGGAAACAGAAATGTCGTTATTCAAGCATTATTTCAGAAACACTCGTTTACACTTTTTGTTTCTCTTTGATGGATAGTGTCAGCAAAGTCTGCAGAAACAGAGTAAAATATTAATATACATGCATGTTGTCTAACTGTCCTCAAGAAGGAGACCTTAATCTCTGGTGAAGGGGAGGAAGGGGGAAAATTATGGTAATCTCAGATATAGTGATGTCTTGCTACATAAGAAATTGTGTGTGTATGTGCAGTACCTTGTGCCTTATGACGTGAGGAACATGTAAATGAAAAAATAGTGACATGCCAAATAGTGAAATGCTCAATATTACAACTGCCCCTGTTCAACACAACATATAATGCAAGTAGTTCATACAGTATTGTGTGATTAAAAATTATTTGAAGGTGTTAATTTATGCTGTAAGTTTTTAAGTATTCAAACTATGATGTGTGTATGTATGTGTGTGTGTATGTATGTATGTATGTATGTGTGTATATATATATATATATATATATATATATATATATATATATATATAATATACACACACACACATTAAAAAACATAATTTATGGGAATTTATGGGGTGCTTTCTTTTGGGAGGTGTTTACCACCCAAGCAAGGCCAGTTGTGCTCTCTTGGACTCCTGAACTCACGATCTCATCTCCTGATGATGGGACCAACACTTGGGCAGTTGCGCCACTTGGGAGTCCAAAGCAAAAGTATTTTAGTCTAAAGAACAAATTGTGTTGTGTCTGATACTGACCCAGAATGATCTGTATAGTGTTAGAATAAATACAAATAAATGTAAATATAATAATAAGCTTTTGACATGTAGGTTAGAAGAATATAGTTAGAAGAACACAGGTTTGGTTTCTGACTTCTTGCTGCACTCCAGCCACTGCATGGAATTGCTGGATTTCATCAGCAGTTCCTGATTTAATGTAACTGATTTAGATAAACGTAGAACTGCATGGTAACTGTAAATACTGGATTTTGGAAATGGCTGAACTAAGTAAATGCTTCCTATACAGATAAATAGCTTTATGTATCACACATTTTACACAGTACTGTATGCATTAGCAGCATTTATGCAGATATTAAAACATGCAAAACAGTTTCACCCACTTCACATATTTGAAGCATTTGATTTCATGTTGTATTTCATATCTATATCACGTTTCCGTCTGTTATATAGCCAGAAGAGACTGTATTCACAGAAATGTCACTGGGTCAGTCTGAAGGCCTTTGTGCAGGTATAGTGATGCCAGTAAAACATAATAATTGAAATGAACTTGAAATGAGCAATAGGGTAAAGATGACCTTCCTTTTCACTGAAGTTTAGACAAACAGTATATTCTTACGATGTTATTTCAATAACAAACGTCACATAACTAATGCTCGCTGTGCTTGTAGCCCCCTTCGTGTGTTTGTCTCACCACCCACTTCTCTGTGGTTTGGATTGTTCCTCTTTCTCTGGTGTGAATCCCTGTTGCTTAACCACACGGCTCCTCCCACCTGTACGACTGACCAGATTAATCACAGAGGAAATGAGTAGTGGGTACAAAAAATAACTTTCCAACATGATCAGATGGGGAAGTGACTAATATATATATATATATATAAATATGTTTATTGATTAATGTTTGAGAGACAGTATTTTGGTATTGATCAGGGAAATACAGATACTGAAATTAAACATTTAAGACAGAACAGCTTTTTTGAAAATCTCCTCTCTGTATTTATTTGTTTAAATCATTCACATATAGCCATACCTGCTTATGAACATGCATGAAATGTGCTGTGCTTTTACCATCTAAAATGAGTCATTTCATTAGGCAGTAGTGCTGACATTCTATCCATGGTTTTTTTCTATTCTCAATGGCAGTTGCCATGACGTCACAACAGTTCCTCTTGAATGGGCTAAACTTTCGTGTAAAGCTTAATTACGATGCTATCAAACTGTCTCAAAAGCACAGGAATGTCATGTGCTGTCTAATGGTGTCAAAACAGCTCTCGAAAGCTTAAAACGATGTTGGAAAATGAATGCTGCAAACACAAAGGCAAGCCAGATCAGAATGTAAGTGTCAGAGGAAGATGAGGCCAAAAGAGCATAGCTAGTGGCACTGAATTAAAAAAAAAGCTAAATATTCATGTTTGCTCCTTCAATTTTGTGATAAAACATAATAAATGCGTAAGAGATTCTGATGAACAAAGCAAATGTAGAGTGCACACCTGATCATATTTTAGTTGGCCCACAAAATACTTTGCTACTGCAGTGCTAAACTAATAAACCATTACGGCTACTGTGGCAACATAACCAATTATGTTTCTCAGAGTAAATGCAGCTCATCTAGCTATGTATTTTAGTTTAATTTAAAATCCCCACCCTATTTTCCACAACACAGCAGCGATGTGGCTACAAGATCTGCCTGGACCAGCGATGCAAGACCATCCTGCTGTATCTGCTACACCATTGTTTTGAACCATAACCCATGCTGAGTAGTTAAGTTTCCTGACGGACTGGCCTGGTTGTACCTCAGCTTTGAGAAATGTGAACTGTTCGCAATGGTAACACAGAACCCTTACGATTTTATTGCTGTGTAGATAATTATAAGCTGCTGTACTTTTATGATTTCTCAGCTCCTCAGAGTCTACACCTTTAGAAAAAACAAGGTAGTTGATAATGTCAACATACGTAACATCTGGGCCAGTTTTATGTCGTCAACCCAGACTTGGGATGGGTTCAAAGGATGAGGAACAGACTGGGTGACACCAGTTACGGTTCTTGTTAAACATTCTCGTCCAGGATGCCACCGCAACACAACTGCCATCTTCTTTTATCCAAAAAGCGAAACCTAGCTAGCTACACAGTTTAATAACTGGCTAATGATAAATCTCTTTAGCCTTGAAGCTAATCCATACACTATCGGTTGTCAACAACAAATGCATACCGGAAGTCGTGCCCATTCTCATTCCAAAGACGCGCAAAGCATAATGGTAAATGTTGTTGTCTAGGAAAACCGTGGATACTACAGCAAAGGCCCATTGATTGAATGATAATGCCAGAGTCTGAACTGCCTGTTTAACCAATGAATCAGCAAAAATATATACCGCATTCTGCATTTTTACAGTATGCAAAGGAAATGTTTACGTATTACCATCTCTTTTAATAAGAAAGGAAATTCACTTAAACGTTCAATTAATTACACTACAGGTTATTATTCTATATGAAGTTCTTTGTCATTTTCTCATTCATTCCAGAAAAAAGTTTTTTGGCACCAAAGGTTTGATCACTGAAATCTAGGGCTGACCCAACAGCACTTTATGTGCTACAAATACTTGTTGATATTTCCAAATGAATACTCGTACTTATTCTCAAATTCATTCTTAAACACTAATATTTGGAGCATTTTAGTCTCTCATTTGACGAGACCGATATGCTTCCATTTTAATCAGACGTCTTACATCCATCATCACTTGCACACGAAGTGTAAACTTCATAGAGATCCAGTAAAATCACATGCTTAACCTTTTAGCTTCTGTGTCCACATGACAAGCGGGGCAGTCTGTTGTGCTCTAGGGCAAGGTGACCTGTATGCCTGAAATGAACTTGCGTATTTAAAACTAAACCAGCTATTTTTTTCTGCGTATTAACAATAGTTTCTCTATTTCAGCGACTATTTCTGCTGGTAAAATTTATTTAAGATTAAAACAGTCAAAGCTCTCAGTAAATAAACTAAAAACAGTGTCACAAATGAAAGCTCAAGTAATCAAATTATTTGGGCCAGCCCTACTTAAATATAATCAGTCTAGGACCTAAAGTGTGGTAGACTGAATTTAACTGCATTGTTTTAGGGTCTAAACTCTGGTAGACTGAATCTGATTGGTTGGTGCTGGAGTTTGGACTCTGGTAGGCTGAATTTGATTGATTGATGTTGAAATTTGGACTCTGGTAGGCTGAAAGTGACCGGTTAGGATATGGGTATGGATTCTCATAGTCGGAATCTGATTGGCTTGTGTCAGAGTTTCGGCCCTGGTAGACTAATTCTGATCGATTGTTGGATTTTGGACGCTGGTAGACTGAATCTGATAGGTTGGTGTTCGAGTTTGGACTCTGCTGGGCTGGAAGTGATCGGTTAGGGTATGAGTCTGGTTTCTCATAGCCTGAGTCTGACTGGTTCTTCGATTGGCTTGTGTTGGAGTTTGGGCTCTGGTAGTCTGAATCGGATTGTTTGATATTGGGATTTTGATTCTGGTAGACTGGACTCATGCTGATATTGCTCTGGTTTCTAGGTGGATCATTTTCATCATCACCATCAGCCTGAAATCAGAACAGCAGAGTACACATTAGCAGATCATACAGAAATATTCCATAGACTCTGCAAACAGAGCCATTATACATACAGTAGGTCCAACAAATGATATACAGTGAGGGTTTCAATATTGTGTCCTGGTATGGGAACCTCTCAATTAAGCAAAGAAAAACTGGCCCAGGTGGTCAACCAGGCCAGTAAGATTATTGGAGATAAACGACTGTCACTCTAGAACTTACACATCCGTTCCATAACCAACAAGGCAACCCAGGTCTACAAGGACCCTACCCACCCCCTTCATTCATCATTCCGGTTGCTGCCATCAGGTAGGAAACTTAAGGTCCCACTAGCTAGAAAGGGTACAAAAAATCACTTGTGCCCACTGCTGTGAGCATTCTGAACAAGGACATAATAAATAATCCCCTACATAGTTCATGTACACTGTTGCTGTAAGTGTTTTTAAGTGTTTTATGTGTCTATATATTTATGTGCCAGATGGCCAAAGACACATTTCCATTTCATGTAAATTTAATGGATAATAAAGTTTTTCTAAAAAAAAAGTATTCAGAGATACTAGAATCTTAAACATACAGCAAAAACAACTCAAGATTAGTTTCTAAAAGGTAAATGTTCTTGTGTGGTGTTGGGAATTGTTTTGTTTTAATTTCTAGTTTTCTGTTTTAGTTGTTATTCATTGTTAAACAGAATGTTGAAAGGTTGTTTTTTGGAATGCACACTTATGCTCTGTTCTTGAGGTTTGAACGATAACAGCAAATTGTCTTTTATGACACATCCTAAGGACAGAAACAGAACACTCCAACTCTGGTCATTTTATGACAGCAAGGTTTTAAGGACAGGATTCCAATCTCCCATTCTGTTTTGTATGACTCTCTTGGGGTGTGGAAATTTGAGTATAAAGCTTTGGTTCCAAAACCTGGTCTTTAAATTGGGGTGAGACTAAGGCAGATGTACAGAGCTTTGAATAAAACTCTCATTATTTCTGCGAACCCTGGTCTCCTGAATCTCTTCCATGGCAAGATCAAAGATTTTCTTCAGTGACCTAGCCAATCTCTTGATGTTTATCCTAATTTATGGTTGATTTTGAAAATGCATGTCCAACAAAGGGGCCCCTGAAATCTCAGGGAATTGAAAAGTTTGCCAAGAGAAATGGGCCAAAATTAAACCACAATGCTGCAAAAGCTCATTACTTCTTACTGAAGCTGTAATTGCCAAACACAATGCTGTGTCTGTAGTGTGAGAAATACAGTTAGAGTTTGGGGTGCATCATACAACTCCTGGTACAAAAACTTAGTCCTACTCCAGCCCTGATTAGAAGTATATTAACCCCTTAAAATCCCAGACTTGTTGCATGCTAAGGCTTATTATTCAGTAACTACAGGGACTTCAATGCAAACTGGCTGAGCTGTTCTTAGATTATAGAAGTGTCATAAAACGTTGGGCTCGCCAGCAGGTCCTGGTTATTAAATGGTTTTAATAGAAACGAAAGTGAATAAATGTTCTCCTCTCTGTATATTTTGAACTTGTGTGGTGTTTAAACAGATTTTTCAAAAAACACAAAACGTCAAAGAATCAAGTTGTGACAGCTGCTCAGCTATTCTCTAATCTTTACACACCTGTAGCCTGTCTTGTCTATTCGGCGCAAGATAAAGAATGTCTTAGATTAATTAAATAATTTGTTGTTAGATTGAGATGACCCACATTTGTTTTCAGAGGAAATTAATTTTAGTCAATTAAAAAAAAAAAAAAAAAACACTTACTGTTTTTTGTCTACTAGAAGCAGAATCTGTGGAAAAAGAGGAAGTCAGTGACAGATGCTCTTTTCAAACTGTCTACTATAGACAGACTTTAGTGTTGGTCCCAGAGTGGAGTTAATCTGATAGAATGAAGTGTAGTGTTTACCTACACAGCAGGTGATCACAGCATTTGTCTTGTGCTGTCTCAGTCTGTATTTCATCATGGCTAATCCTCCAAACAGCATTAGAGCCATAAAGAAACACACAGTGATGATAGGGGAACCTGGAAATGAAACCCAGTGACAGGAACAGAAAGAACAGAAAAAACAATCAGCTTAAAATGTCATCACGTTCATGAGAAACACACAGTTCAAGTGGAGCCACATTAAAGGAATGGTTTAGAGAAAAATCAAACGTACAGTTTTCCTCTGACACTAGTTGCAATCGATCAGCCAAGACATGTTTGTTGTCTAGATATTGCTTCTTCAGTTTAGCACTAGAGCACTTGAGAGGCTAACATTGCAAACATTCAAAGTCAATAGTCAAAAAGATGTTTTTTTGCTTTTTACAAAACTTTTGTCAACCCTCTCAAGCTGAATCCAGCTTTTTATTAAGGGGCTTTTCAATGTGGTTTAGGACACTGTTTGACATTGTATAGCTGAATGCTGTGGTCAGCCTTTTGAGACAACAGGTGTTGTGCCAAATTCTGTCACTCCTCAAGTGAACCATGTTTATGGGGGCATGTGGGTCTTATCTTTGCGATTTCTGTTGCACACTGTGCGACCTTACTCAAGACCTGGATGCTGTTTGAGCGGGTTCAGAGGGGTTCCTTAATGTATTTACGCCAAAGATGTGGTGTCATGTGGTTTTTAGCAACATTAGCCTCGGAACAAAACTGAAGAAGCAAAATTTGGACACCAAAAACATCTTGGCTGGTCAACAGCATGTGTGTATGTGTGATGTTTTGCTAAACCATTTCTTAAATACACAACCATAATTCACGTATTTGGAATATATTTTGCAGTTCTGTGTCTCACACATGATTCCTTTCTAATATAGCACCCAAAACAGACTATGAATCCAAGGTCACTGTACAAACACAAGGGCTACTGGTAAGTTGCTGTTGTATTTTGAAAACCTCTGTGCTGGTGTAGTTGAGGATGAGCATTAGAACCTGCAGCATCTTGAATATGCAATGACACCAGCTCAATGTATCAGATTTTCGTAAGGGAAAGAAGGATTTGCCAAACTAGATATTCCTAATTCTGCTTAATTCTAATGACAATCAGGGATATTTAAGTCATACAAGTCAATTCAGGCTTCTTTCCTGTGCATTCCTTTTCCAGTGGCCAATAAAATGGTCTCTATGCAGCAATCTTTGGCCTATGTTTGTTGCATTTTGAGCTTACACAGAGTTATGAATAATAACATTAATATTACAGAATATGAGTTTTGGATAGTAACTGAGTTCTTACTGAATTGTTCATCAGATGTAAATGCTGTTTGTACTGCAGATGTATTCCTGTAGGTTGTTGGTTCCAGAGTTGAACTTGGTCTTGCTGGTGGTGGTTGTTTTGGTGTAGATGATTAAAACATACAACATTTAAATCAATTAACATTAGTGACACAAAAATGTGAGGAATTTCTGTCAAACATAAGGACTTGTATGAAAATGCATTAGAACCTGAAGCTTTCTGGATATACAGTGGTACAACTTTTTGAATTTTCTATATTTCTGCGTAAATTTGATCTAAAACTTCATCAGATTTCCACACAAATCCTAAAAGTAGATAAAGAGAACCACATTAAACAAATGAGACAAAAGTATTAGACTTCGTCATTTAATTATTTTGGAAAATGATCCAATATTGCATATCTGTGAGTGTCAAAAGTAGGTGAACGTTTAGGATTAGCAGATCATTTGAAGGTGAAATTAATCAGGTGATTTCAATCAATGGGATGGCAATCAGGTTGTTAGTGACCACCCTGTTTTATTTAAAGAACAGGGATCTATCTCAGTCTGATCTTCACAACACTTGTTTGTGGAAGTGTATCATGGCAGAAACAAAGGAGATTTCTGAGGAAGAGTTGTTGATGCTCATCAGCCTGGATCTTTAAGGAGTTTGGACTCCACCAATCCACAATCAGTCTGTGTACAAATGGAAGAAATTTAAGGCCTTTGTTACGCTTCCCAGGAGTGGATGACCAACAAAGATCACACCAAGAGCAAGGTGTGTTATAGTCCATGAGGTCACGAAAGGAACCCTGGGTAACTTCTAAGCAGCTAAAGGCCTCACAGTGGCTGATGTTAATGTTCATGAGTCCACTATCAGGAGAACACTGAACAGTGCTGTGCATGGCAGGGTTGCAAGGAGAAAGACGCTGCTCTCCAAAAAGAACATTACTGCCCATCTGCAGTTTGCTAAAGATCACATGGACAAGCCAGAAGGCTATTGGAACAATGTTTTTTGTACGGATGAGAATAAAATAGATCTTTTTGGTTTAAATGAGAAGTGTTATGGTTGAAAGGAAAACACTGCATTCCAGCATAAAAACCCATCTGTGAAACATGGTGGTGGTAGTATCATGGTTTGGGCCTGTTGTGCTGCATCTGGGTCAGGACGGCTTGCCATCATTGTAACAATGAACTCTGAATTATACCAGCAAATTCTAAAGCAAAATCTCAGGACATCTGTCCGTGAGCGGAAACTCAAGAGAAAGTGGGTCAGGCAGCAAAACAACGACCCTAAGCACACGTCATTCTATCAAAGAACGGTTAAAGAATAATAAAGTTAATGTTTTGGAATGGCCAAGTCAAAGTCCTGACCTTAATCCTATAGAAATGTTGTGGAAGGACCAGAAGCAGCAGTTCATGGGAGGAAGCCCACCAACATAAGAGTTGAAGCTGTTTAGTATGTAAGAATGGGCTAAAACTCCCCCAAGCCGATGTGCAGGACTAATCAACAGTTACCGGAAACGTTTAGTTGCAGTTATTGCTGCACAACAGGGTCACACCTGATACTGAAAGCAAAGGTTCACATACTTTGCCACTCATTGTGGTATATAATATTGGATCATTTTCATCACTATATAAACGACCAAGTCTAATATTTTTGTCTCATTTGTTTAATTTGGTTCTCTTTATTTACTATTAGGACTTGTGTGCAAATCGGATGAAGTTTTTGATCAGAGATATTTAAGTAAATTAAGTCAACTGAGGCTTCTGCCTTGAGCATTCCTTTTCCAGTGGCAAATAAAATGGTCAATATGAAGCAATGTTCATTTGTTGCATTTGGAGCTTCCACAGCTTCTACCACTGCCTTAAACTGTGTAATTATGCTTTGGGCCAATTTAAAATGTACAGTTTGATCATTTTGTTGTTTCTTTTGAAAGTATATGTAGATGAAACAATACATGCATCTCAGTTAGTATTAGTAACTGTAATAACACACATTGATATTACAGAATGTAAGAGAGAGTTTTTGATAGTAACTGAGTTCTTACTGAATTGTTCTTTAGATGTGATTGCTGTTAGTACTGGAGATGTGTTCCTGTAGGTTGTTGGTTCCAGAGTTGAACTTGGTCTTGCTGGCGGTGGTTGTTATGGTGTAGGTGAACAAAATATATAATAAATTTAAATAATTGAACATTCGTGACATAAAAACATCTGAGAGAAACATAAGAACTTGTATAAAAATGCAGACTTAGAGCTACAAGCATCTCACCAATAATTTCAAGATACATCCATCTCAAGGTGGAGTAATCATTTCCTTTAATCACTTTACAGGAATAATCTCCTGAATCTTCTTGTGTCACATCAATGATGTTCACACTGACAGTGTTAGACCTTCTGTCATCAGAGATGGAGAATCTGCCTTTTGGAGACTCTGTGGTACTGACCACTACGGTATAAGAGTCATCAGATCGTTTGGCTAAACACTTAGGGTTTGTTCTTGAACACCTCTGGATAGTTACAGCTGATAGTTACAGTCTCTCCTAGAACAGCAGTCATATGTTCTATACTCCAGGCATCTGAAAATCACACAATCATAAAATAATCAGCCATAAACAAACTATAATTGATATGCTCACTAGCTGCATTGTGCCTTATGTCTCTGTTGCAGTAATGCCTCAAGAATAATTTACATTGTAGTAACAAACTGAAAAGTTAAACTCTAAGCTTCAGCTAAAAAATCTTAAGCTTTTTCTACTCTAGAAAAAAAAATCTGGCTCGGTTGTCTGCAAGATTGTTTCTGAACATCTAAGGTCCTTAAGCAGCATTCCACCTGGGGCACCCATCCATTAATTATATGTTGTATACAAGAACGAAACAGTACTAATACTTTATTAATTACTGTAATAATACATTTTGACCAGGAGAATAAAATGGATACAGACTTAGTCATTTCTACCACTCTACCGTCTAAGAAAAAGGGCTACATTTTGTTAATTTCCCATTTTATTCTTTTCAGCTGTTGTCATTCTCAGCCTAATGTGTCTCCATTGCAAATGATATGTAAATAAGAAATTCCACACAATTACTCTGAAATCACTGCTTGTTTTGTTGTAAACGGTTCCTGCATCACAAACAGTAATTTGTACATTGGTCAGGATGGTCAAATCTGTGCTTGCTGCTATTCGACCTTAACGAATAAGGGCCAAAAACACAAATATCTTTACTTATTGAGCACTTCATTAAGGACACTATAATACTGTGCAGGGCCTCCCTTTGCTGTCAAAACAGCCTCAGTCCTTCAGATTTTTAGCTGCTTTTTAATGCTGCGAATCTCTGCGAATTCTACCACATCCTAAAGATGTTCTGCTGTATTCCCTACTGATTACTGGGAAAGCCGCTGAACATTAAACTCATGTTCAGGAAACCAGTTTGAGACGACGTTTGCTTTGTGACATGGTACATTATCATGCTGGAAGTAGCTGTTAGAAGATGGTAAATTATGGCCATGAAGGGATGCACATGCTCAGCAACAATACTCAAATAGACTGTTGCATTCAAGCGATGGTTGATTGGTATTAACAGGCCCAAAGTGTGCCAAGAAAACATTCCCCACCCCATTACACCACCTCCACCAGCCTGGACTGTTGACACAAGGCAGGTTGGGTCCATGGATTCATCCTGTTGAAACCCAAATGTGACCCTACCATCTGTGTGCCTCAGCAGAAACTGATTCATCAAACCAGGCTATGTCCTTCCAGTCTTCAGCTGTTCAGTTTTGGTGAGCCTGTGCACACCGCAGCCTCAGCTTTCTGTTCTTGGCTGACAGAAGTGGAACCCAATGTGGTTTTCTGCTGTTGTAGCCCACCCCCCTCAAGGTTTGTGTTGTGCATTCTGAGATGCTTTTCTGCTCACCATAACTGTACAGAGTGGTTATCTGAGTTACTGTAGCCTTTTGGGCAGCTCAAGTCTCTCTGGCCATTCTCTGCCGTTCACTGGATGTTTTTTCTTTGTTGCACCATTCTGAGTAGACTGTAGAGACGCTGTGTGTGAAAATCTCAGGAGATCAGCAGTCATAAATACTGAGACCACGGTGTGGGGCCAACAGTGATGCCACGAACAAAATCACAGAGATCAAATTTTTTTTTCTCCATTCTGATGGTTGATGTGAAATATTACCTGAAGATGCTGGGCTGTATCTTTGTTCTCCATTTGATCTTCCATTTTCGTTTTTCAGTTTTGACATAATTTGAAAGTGCTTTTTGTCCTTTACATTGTAAATTTCATGATGAATGGACCAAAGGAAACAGTCCAAGTTGATTTAAAAAAAAATAAATAAAAAAAAAGTCTGGTTCCATTGACTTGCATTAAAAGTAAAGAAGGTTTTTTCATTTTCCTGTAAAGTTATCATTTTGGAGATACGAGGTTTTCTTCCGACAACAGCAAGATATATATGTCCAGTTAACACAATTAGCAAATTAAACAAATTAACAAAATAGTTTAAGATATTTTGTACAGCATGTCAGAAGAAGGGGGAATCTTGCCTTCTGTTGAAATTATTCTTGAGGTAAGTTTGCATTTATGTAAGTTTTAAGTGAATGTAAAACAGTCATTAACATTTTTGTGAACAATCAACTTCCTGTTCAAAGTTCAAATCAAAGATTTCACCTAAACACTTTTCTTGACATATTAGCAACAAGTAAAAGTGACATAGCTGACCTGAGACCTGACAAAGGGTGAAGATAAGGAGGATCTTCATTCTGGACTGAAGTTTAGAAAGTCAATCCACTTTCCATGAAAGCCCTTTTAAAAATGAGTGTGTGTGTGTGTGTGTGTGTGTGTGTGTGTGTGTGTCGGTCTCTGTATCCGCTTCCCTCTGTGGTTGTTGGATCTTCTTTCTTTGGAAAAAGTCCCACAAGGGGGAAGGGAGGGGGGCTTAAGTGGCACTGGGAAATTTGATTGCCCAAAATAAGGCCCACCACCCACACACAGAGTGAAGCTAGTAGCTGATTGGTTATTAGGTTGGATATGCTTGTGCATTCAGTCAATTCTTTTGAGGAAACAGGAGATAGTGGTTGTTATCCGTTCCTCATTTCAGTTCTGTGCATAAAAACTGTAATAAACAAATTTTCAAGACAAAAGCACAAGGTAAATTTAATGTGGCAAACATGTATTCATCCCCCTCTTCTTTCTTTTGAGCTGATTGACCTTTCCTCTCTTCATATATGGGCTGTGTGGTACCGTATGGTATTGAAGCATTTTACCTACACATTGGCCCTTATTAAGTTGCATAAAAAAAAATCAGATTTGACCCTCTTTAATGACATACAGACTTTTCTGCATCTGGGTGATGGCTTTTTCCTACAATGTGGGAACAAATATAGGTTTTTGCGCAAGTTATGAATCAGTTTCAGTGCGTGAAGTCAAGCACCAGCCTATCAGTACCTAATTTACATGCTGTTTACATGATGTATGCCCTAATTCATGCAGATGTTTTGGTAGGGAGCCAATAAAATGACCAGCATTAAGCAGTTGGAGAGACAGTGACTATATTTACATGCAAAGATTTTTGCAAATCTAATTGAATACATTCCTATTACAGATTAAGACTGAGGTGTTTATTCTCACTCTACTCAACACTCTGATGGAAATCCCTGTTTACATGCTCACCACAAGTAATCAGATCCAAAATCACGTGCATGCGTAGAGCACCACTTAGTGTAACTGTGTAAAGTGTAATATGTCTCTAAATGGAACAACGAATAGTTTTAGCATCTGTTTTACATTTGTATGTAAAACACCCACTGTTGTACTGGATTGCCATGTGCATAAATTATTAGCAACACTATTTTCTGTTATTATTTTTGTCATTGGTGTAATACATTATATTGATAATAATGTTGGTTTGTTCTTTGCAAAACAAGCTTAAACAAGGTTTGTTTTTTTTTAAGAATATTAAACTATTACATGTTTCTATCAGATGTGTTTGATCATACAGATACTCCAAAGATGAAAGTGATGCATTACAAAACTTTCAGTGAAATTTGCATGTGTTCAGGTGAATGTTCACTGTTAATGGTTAATGGTCACTGACCATATCTTTATTAATATGGGACAATGAACCCAACTGGCCATTAGGCAAATCTTGTGGGCCTTTGGAGCCTGAGAGTCCATGTTCCATTGTTAATACCTAGAAGCAAAAACACAAAATACTTGATACCCAGATGAAGAAAAAATACACAATGTAGATACATTCATAAGTAAAAGAATATTGTACAGGATAGCATATATGGTACTGTAGAAGCTCTTCACAGTGGTCATAAAACCACAAACCTCCAAAGAATAATTTATGAAGTGCTACTGTGCTCTTCTGTCTTGGTTACCTAAAGCTCTCTCGGGCCTGACCAACTGTAAATCAAATATGTTTTCAAAAGAGGCAGCAGAGCAGGAGCTTGAAATGTTATTGTCATTTGTGTCATAGTTGTCGTTTTGAATGTTGCTTCACTTTGTGTTTTGTTCTTTCTGATTATTAGGATCTTCCAACATTTTGTCCTGTTTTAGTATGTTTATATGAAACAGGTTGTTAATGGAGTGCAGAGAGAATCATGCCCTCAGGATGATTAATAAACATCACATTTTAAATATACATACATATTTAAACATATTGAGCTTGACTTCTAATTCAAATCAAACAGAAATAAGACAAAGCTGCACTCATCCGTAATGAGCTATTATAAGCATGCTCCACTCTCTTACAGACCAATGGTCTGTTCTACTGTAGACTCTCAGAGCTTAGCCAAAACTGTTAGTGTTGGTCCGGTTCCTGAAAAAGCAAAGAAACATACATTTATTAAAAACAGGTAGAGTGAGTTAAGCAGTGCTTTCCAAGATGTATAGACATTAATATGTAAAGATCTGTGAAGTGTGGTGTAAGCACAGCTCCCATTCATGGCATAAAAGTGTAATATGTTCAACACTGTTTCATCTCAGATAATCTGTGATCAGTATTTACTCAAGGCTTCAATTTACATTTAGTTTTTAGTAAACTGAATTAAGAAAAATATATAAGAATATGCTGGCAAATTTAAAATTGGCCACCTAGTGGTCAGAAATCAAAGTACACAAATTAACAATGAAACAATTTAACAATAAACTATGGTTTCTACATTTTTTTTTATATTCGCAGACAAAAATCTTAAGTAAAAAAACATGAATTGACAACAATAAAGAACCAACAAAGAGCTTTCTGAGTCAGACATTGGAAAAATGTAAGCTCAAAAAAAGAAGAAAAAAAAATTCTGCAAGAAAAAAGTGCATACAGAGCTCTAATTTTGTAATGGATTTGTTTTTGTCCCACAAAAGTTTGACTGGTGTCCTTGGTTATCTGGTGGTCATATTGCAGAGTACTTACACTACACTGTTAGAAATAAAGGTTCTGTGCAGGTACATTTTTTTGTTTATCAAGGTACAAACAATGTAAATGTTTCATCAAAGGTACAACAGTGGTTTTAAGGTCCAGTTATGAACCTTAAATAGGTTTTTCCAGGTTCGTATTTGTACCTTTTCGTAACCAAATGTTTTAAAACAGATCAGTAAAATAAAAGTCCTGGAGACGAGACGGGGTGTGTGGAGTCAGTACAGCTTAGAAAATATTTCAGTGGATTATGGTTCAGTTATGTTCCCTGACTAAAGGTACTGAGATGTACCTTTGAGGGAACCACCCCAGTGACAAAAGGGGAACTGACCCAGTGACAGTTTACTACCTTTATTTCTGAGAGTGTAGGCATTACATTAGAATGAGTAAACAGTATATTTTGCTTTGTTCTTCTACCCAGTAACATACACGAATGTATGACCGTGAGTAACTGACCACATCAGACCTGCCCATTGCACTTGAGAGTTAAAATCAAACATCTCCCTAATGTCAGTAACCATCACTCAAATGTAGCACATAGGTCTACTCCAGTTTCCAGTTTAGGGGCAAATCGGAATAAATAACTACAATTACTGTCATGCAAGCAGTGACTAAAGTAGAATATCTAACCTGAGATCAGATACTGGCTGAAGATGAGGAGCATCTTCACCTAAACAGAAGTTCATCTAATTGTTTTGCTTTGTCCAAAATTCTTTAAATACTTATTAGTACATCTTCATACCTTATGGCCCACTGTATATGACTCCATATCACCTTCTCCGTGGTTTAGTTGGTTCCTCTTTCTTTGTTGTCAGTTTCTCAATCTCAGTGCTCCTCCCACAAGCACCACTGACCATGAAACAAAGCAATAGGAGAAAGCCTGCCATCTGCTGGTGGTGAGAGTCTGCTTTGGCACTAGTATAACCCTGAGTGATGAAATCACCATATTTTAATGGCTTATTATTAGAAAGTAGCTTATAAAAACATCATGTAAATGTCTTGGTTGGTCAATATCGTAGATTAAACTTAGAACTTCAGTCTACTGTGTGCATGTAAATGTAGCTATAGATACACAATTATAACACAGACATTGGAGCTGAAAGGCTCCAGATGGTTATGAAGGAGGTAGAACGAAGCCCTCCAGTGTGGGAGATTCTTTAACAGATTTATTTGTGTATGAGCACAATTTTACACGTTTATCAAATTGGATGGCAGATTTTTATTCTGTGATATTGTTAGGAAAATCTCAACTTCACTAGCATTTGTGTATTAAAAGCAGTGCAACAGCATTCAATATGCTAGTTAACAATGCATTTTGCTATGCTTATTTAGTATGTTATGATCAGGTACCACAAAATGAATGACTTTTAATCACTAATATACCACTAATATACCATCTGTATGTCTGAATTAGTCTGAGTCAGTGCATTGTGTTAGCGCCTCGTACAGATAAACAAAGTGAGTGATTAAGTCTGTGGCAAAACCACAGCTGATCTGAGGTCAGCTGAGAACCAGTCACTGCTGATTGTGCAGTTTTATTGCTGATTCCACAATGAATCTCAAACTACTGAGATCCTTGATGACCTCATGCTAGTAATGAACATGACAGGCGCTGAAAATGAACTGAAGATTTGAGGCAATGGCAGAAGGCTAAGGACTATTTGGAGGTCTGAGAAAACAAAGTGGGCTTGGTAGAGAGTGTAATAATTTTCATTGGCCATAATACATTGACAGTGCTCACAGAAAAAATGTATCTTAAAAGAAACAGTGTAGTTTATATTGTAATGTATATTACATGGTGTATAGTGTTATTGTGTAATATATATCCTTGTCCCTATTTGATTGCGTGGGCCTCTGATATCTGTGGCTTAACCTTTTGAATAGGCTGCCGCATTATCAGAACTGCACTGTTTTCACATTAAATCTCATGAATGAAGATGAAAAAACCCTTCCTAGGTCCAGGCCTTGTCCTCATAGCTAGCTGTGGCCATGATTCCTATTACCCACTTTGTGCCCTTGTACACCTTGTATCAGAAAGCATTTGAAAAGCCTCAGTAGTGTAAAGATTTTTGTGTGTGTTTAACTGAGATTTGTCTGGAACCTCCATTGTGTAAGTGGAGTCTCAATTTTTGGGATGCTGCATTTTGGTGTATTAACCTATATCAGGACTACTATTAAATAATAATGATTGATTTTGATTTTGCAATATTAATGACAAATGTGATCGTATATATGTATCTCACGGTCCCGAACTCACCATGAACAGTGCCAGCTAAGATTGCATGAACATGTTGTGCATGCAAAAATGCACTTTTAGCTAGAAAAGACTGCTTTTAGCTAGAAAACAATGAATTCCAAGATAGATTCCATGATGAGTTTATTGAAAATGAAATGTACACATTACAAATAAAGAACTGATTATACCGGATAA